GACATCAGTGCCCCCCTTCTCACTCCCTCACCCTGAACAGCAAACAGCAGACTGAATTTTTGGAAAACATGAATCTATTGAATCAGTCATTAATATTTTGTTTCTCCTCTGAGCTTGTTCTCTTTTTGCTTGGATGTGTTTCACAGCCGAGTTCACAGTGATGGGTCCTGCTCACCCTGTCACAGCTGCCGTGGGTGAGGCCATCGAGTTACCCTGTCACCTGTCCCCCAGGATGAGCGCTGAGAACATGGAGGTGAGATGGTTCCGATCGGAGTTCCTTTCCTTTGTGCACCTGTACCAGCGTGGGAAGGATGAATATAAAGAGCAGATGCCCGACTATCAGGGAAGGACGGAGCTTTTGAAAGCTGGTCTCTCAGAGGGCAACGTGTCCTTGCGGATTCTTAATATCAGACCAACAGATAGAGGACAATACCGCTGTTTTGTTCAAGATGGTACTTTGTACGAAGAAGCCCTGTTGGAACTGAAGGTAGCAGGTCAGTAGCTCCTGTCTGTATTATCTTAGTGTGGTCTGCAGTTCTTATTCCTTGCTACTGCAACAACTGTGACTAGCAACTTGTGAATTGTTTTAGAATAACACACTGTTACAACCACATTCAAATCCTTTCCATGATATGCAGACAACTTTCCCACATTTGGTTAAAGATGTTTTCAGAATGGCCAGGAGACTTTGTTGCCCAAAATAAATTCTTAATTGACATCAAAAGGAGTCCTTTTTTTTTTTTTTTTTGACTTCTGAACAAAGAAGGTCTTCCTGTTTCTCTGTTGCTGTCATTTTGTGGATATAAGGCCAAAGTGACACTGTCAAGTTTATATGGTTTTCCTCTCTGGTCGCGAGAAGTTGTAATTTAGGGGTGCAGTCAAAATCAGCTGCAGTTTTCTGACTGACTGAGGCCATATAATAGTGATGGAGAAGTTGTGTACTAATCGCTTCAATTTACAACTGAGCTGTGGTCCCTTTCTGCTCAGACACTTTAACTGTGGGGTGAGGTAGCATTATTTAAGCAAAGGAAGAAAAACATCCATCCAGTACACTGACCATCAGAGGTTTTTAAACGAAGTGGTTGGGTTTCAACACTCAGGGTGTGTCTAGACTAGAGGACTTTGTTGACAAAAGTGGATTTTTGTTGACAAAACTATACCTGCATCTACACTGCTGCTGAGTTCTGTCGACACAGCGTCGACAGAACTCAGCAGTTTTGTCTATGGCAGTAAACCTCATTCTACGAGGAATAACGCCTTTTGTCAACAGAGGTCTGTCGACAGAAGGCATTATTGCATCTACACTGCCCTTTGCGTCTACATTGTCATGTCGACAAAGTGGCTTGCTTTGTCGACAGAACCGGATGTAATCTAGATGCGCTTTGTCGACAGTATCTGTCGACAAAACTTCTGTGGGCAAAAGCCTGTAGTCTCAGATGCTCCTGAGTTGGAAGGGCGGTATCTCTCAGTGATTCAGTGAAATCATTATAAATACTTGTTGATCTGTTTTCCCCCCTCTGTAAGTATTGGGAATACAGAGATTCTGGTTTTCATTTGTCCCATCTGCATGAGTAAGTGATTTCTAATGAGAACAAGGGAGCCACAATCTGGGCCCAATCCCTTGTGTTTGTAAGTTAACTCATGGAATTGACACTTGTTTATGTTGTTTTCCTGTAGTTTTAGGTTCCAGTCCTCTCATCTCTGTTCAGGGTCACCAGGATGGAGGAATCCGGGTAGTTTGTCAGTCGGCCGGTTGGTACCCAGAGCCCGAGGTGCTGTGGAGAGATCACATCGGGCACCTTTTAACATCACTGTCAGAAGCAAAATCTCAAGTGGATAATGATCTCTTTGAAACAGAAAATTCTATTATTATGAGAGAACAAGCAAACCAAAGCTTGTCTTGTTGCATCAGGAACACCTTTCTCAATCAAGAAAAGGAATCGACAATTTATATAGCAGGTCAGTTACCTTCCTAACCCCACACTTAAATTACCATTACTAGGACCAAAACAAAATACAAAAAAATTGAAAACTCTGTGGTGCATATTTTACAATCTACATGCAAACAAAGAAGATGGGGGGCTGATATCTTCACAGGGTCACAATTCTTCCCCCTCCTGGGGTGTGTCTACACAGCAGCATTATTTCAGCATAACAGCCGTGACTTCGAAATAACAATGCAAACATCCACACAGCAATTCTGTTGTTTTGAAATAATGGATGGCTTATTCTGATTTCTGTAAACCTCATTCCACAAGGAATAATACCTTTTCCAAAATAGCTATTTTGAAATTGTGATAGTGTGGATGCACCACTGCTGCTATTTTGAAATAGCTCCTCCCCTGGGTCATTCAGAGTCATATACTCCCCAGTGCTTCCTGGGTTCTAAATCGAGGTAACACGTCCTCATTAGAAGAGCCTGCCTTGGACTAATTTTGAAACTTCCCTGTAGCATAGACAGATTATTTTCTGAAAAAGCATATTTCAGAATATTTCTTCCATAATTCCCGAGTCCAAAATAAGTGTGCTGTGTAGACGTGCCCCCAGAGCTGAGAGCCACATGGAGGGAGTAGCCACCGTTTTAAGTGATGTGGGGCTGCAGCAGGCAGGCAGCTCACCTGGCTTGGGGGGTGCTGCAGGGCTGTTGGCCAGGAGACACTTTACTTCACCTCAATGATTTTCTGAATGTAGTAATTTATTTACTTTGGATTGTTTGGTACCTTCTCCATGTGTAAAATATCATTTGGGATGGTGCTGTGTCTGACGTTCAATGGGGTTTCTGCTCATAACTGACTTTGCCTATGTTTATACATACAAATTGCACCGATTTTCTAGTTAATTAGTGATGAAAGTCTCCTCGTCCAAGCATGCTTATTTCAGTTTCAGAGTGTCTTATACATTTTGCTTAAGTCAGTTTGTTACTGATTTATGCTAAGTGGACATAGATAATTATTAACCTGATTTACAATGGAAGATTTTGATTGATAATCAATGTAGTTAAAATCCTGCAATCCTTTTATATGGTCAGTTGTGGATCCAGTTTAAGAATGACCACATGAGAGTGTTATACCAGTTCCATAACACCAGTGCACAAGTAATGTGTGGAGAAGGTCATAGGCATATTTAAAATACCCACCCTGCTTAGGTGACTTAAACATCATAAACAAAAGAAAAACAAATAATAGAATCCTAGATTACTAGGACTGAAAGGGACCTTGAAAGGTCATCGAGTCCAGTCCCCTGCCCTCATGGGCAGGACCAAGTACTGTCTAGACCAGTGTTTCCCAATTTGT